ACAGAATAGCTAATATACTTTATAAATACTATAAGTTCTAAAAGGTATTTTAAAAAGAACTTAAAATAGGGTTATTATTAAATATAAAATAAGATTATAAAATTAAATTAAAAGATAAAAAGAACTTTATATTTTATAAAATCTATAATCTTAACTAGAATAAACTTAAGATACTTTAAGAATAAATTAATAATTAGTTATAAAAAGGATATATTAAACTATTAAAATTATTAGCAGGATACCTTATAATATTTATATTAAAGAAAAATAAAAAGCTATAACTTATTATTAATTACTAAAAGCTTAATAAAATTATTAAAAAAGATATTATACTTTTATTATTAATAACTAAAATTAAAGACTAGTTATTTAAAGTAAAATAGTTTATAGCACTTAACCTTAAAAAAGCCTATAACCTTATTTATATTAAACTAGGAGATAAATAAAAAACAGTATTTAAAATATACTATAGATTATTTAAATGCTTAGTAATACTATTTAAATTAACTAATGCATTTATAATATTTTAAAAAATAATTAACTATATATTAAAGAAATTTATTAACTTATTTATTATTATTTACCTTAATAATATTTTTATTTTTTTAAAAAACTCTTAAAGAATATAAAAAGTATATTACTTTTATATTAAAAATATTAAAAAAGGTAAATCTACTAGTAAAACTAGAGAAATATTAATTTTATTAATAAAAAGTTATATTTTTAAGATATATTATTATACTTAAAGAAGTATATATAAATCTTAAAAAGCTTAAAGCTATTAGTAAATAATAACTGCTAAAGAATATAAAGGAAGTTTAAAGCTTTTTAAGACTTACTAATTACTATAAATAATTTATTTAAAACTTTTTAAAAATTACTATACTACTTATAAAACTTATAAAAAAAAAAAGGAAATTCTTATAAGCACTTAATATATAAAAGGCATTTAATATATTAAAAAAGGCTTTAACTAGTAACTTAGTATTAATTATATTTAATCTTAAAAAGCTAATTACTATTAAGGTAAATATATTAAACTATACTATAAGAGAAGTATTAAGTTAACTAGATAAAAATAAGAAATTATAACTAGTTACTTATTTTTTAAAAAAGCTATATAGGCTAAAATTATAATATCCTATTTATAATAAGGAATTTAAGGTAATTTATATAGCACTTAATAAAAAACACTAAAGAAACTATTATTAAGAAAGTAAATTCCTTATAATAATCCTTATAAATTATAAGAATATTACTTACTTTACTATAATATAAAAACTCTTATAAAGATAAATTAAATACTATAAACACTTATTAAAGTTTAACTTAATTATTAAGCATTATAAAAGAATAAAAAATAGTAAAGCTAATATATTTAGTAAAAGACTAGACTATTTTTAAGAAATCCTAGATATATAAGCATAAGTACTATAGTATAATAAAGATAGAAACTTAATATTAAAAACACTAAATATTATATTTATAATTAAAAAAGATAATTTAATTATTAATAATATTAAAGAGTATATTAAAGACTAGACTAAAGAATAGTTTTTAAAAGGCACTTTTATAAAAAAGGGCTACTTAATAATAAATAAACTTATCTAAGTACTAGATAAACTATAAAAGAAAGTAGTTAAGATAATTTATATATACTTAATATATAAATATTAAGGAATAAAGAAAACCACTTAGTAAGTTTAATAATATTATAAGTTTAATAATATTAAGAAAATAGTTTAAAAGGTTATTTTAAAATATATTATATATAAATAAGTAAAAGCAAGATGCTATTTTCTTTATAAAAAGTTATAACTCTTATAGGTTTTAATATAGCCTTAGGAATTAATTTTATTTAACTATATTATTAAGCTTTTACTTTTAAAAAAACTAATAATAGAAAAAACTTAAGATAGTATTTTTATAATAATTAACTAATTAATAAAAATAAGCTACTTTATCTTAATAAAAGAAAGCAGTATAGCTAAAGACTTAGCATATTAATTTTAAAGATATATTTATACTAATTATAAATTACTAAATAAAATTATTTTAAATAAAGGATTAATATTTATCTTAAAATTTTAATAATTACTTATAGCTAGACTTAAATTAAATTATAAAGTTAGTACTACTTATTACTTATAAATAAATAAATAAATAAAAAGAATTAACTAGATTATTAAAATATACTTATAATACTATATTAACTTTAAATAAAATAACTAGGTTAAATACTTACTAATAGTATAAATCTTATATAATAGTATATTAGTAAAATTAATAAGAAAATTATTATTTTATATAAACTATAAATTTAAACTAAAAGCATTTTAACCTTTAAGATAAGGTAAAAATATAAAAAAAGTAATTATTATAGTAGATTAATTAAAAAAACTATATAATAAAATAAGAATATAACTTAAATTTATATAATAAAAAATAAATAAGTATATAAATTAAAGAAGAATTAAAGGACTAATCTTTTAAAAGGGAGATATAATTTACTTACTTTAGTATATATATAAAAAAAAATAACTAAATATTAAAATAAATTAGCTAAGTAATAAGCTTAATTTTAAAAAACTTAAACTATATAAGGTTTTAAAATAAATTAAAGAAGTTAA